AACCTGAGCCGGAACCAGCACCTGAACCAGAACCTGAGCCAGAACCAGAACCAGAACCACAACCTGAACCAGAACCCGAGCCAGAACCAGAACCAGAACCAGAACCAGAACCAGAGCCAGAACCAGCACCTGAACCAGAACCTGAGCCAGAACCTGAACCAGTACCTGACCCAGTACCTGAACCACAACCTGAGCCAGAACCGGAGCCACAACCTGAACCAGAACCTGAACCAGAACCTGAACCAGAACCTGAGCCGGAACCAGTACCTGAACCACAACCTGAACCGGTACCTGAACCACAACCAAAGCCGGAACCACAACCAGAACCAGTACCAGAACCACAACCAGAGCCAGAACCAGCACCTGAGCCGGAACCAGCACCTGAACCAGAACCAGAACCACAACCTGCACCAGAACCACAACCTGAGCCGGAACCTGAGCCACAACCAGAACCTGAGCCAGAACCTGAACCTGAGCCAGAACCGGAACCACAACCAGAGCCGGAACCACAACCACAACCAGAACCAGCACCAGAACCACAACCTGAGCCGGAGCCAGCACCATCCGTTCTGCCACGCCCCCCTGATGAAGCAGTGCCTGCCCCTGTTTCTGAGCACCTGGACCAGGTGAAACAACCGAGAAACCCACCTGCACCAGAACCGGTCCTGGTACCGGTCCTCGTTCCTGATGCCCCTCCACAGAAACCCCACCGGCCGGAGCGGCCCTGGAGGCGCCGGAACTGCCTGAGAGGCTGAAACGCTGCACCAACCTGAATAAAACTGATAAAAACCGTCCGTCTGCGTTCACCTTTATTCATCTGTGGTTCCATTTATGTCTGTTTCACAGTAGAACCGGATCAGAACCTTTTTCTGCTCCAAGAGGAGCTACTAATCATTGGTAAAAAACAAACAAGAACAGGAAAATAATGTTTATTCAGATTTTTTACAACCTTCAGGGGTTTGAAGCTTAAAGCTATTTCTGCTGATTTAACCCGTTTGAACAGAGTCCTCTTCAGACCTTGATCCTGTGGTCCAAAGTCTCCATCAGAACCAGAACCAGAGAGGCTGGGACACCTCCAGCTCTGACCCAGAGGGAGCATCCTCCCTTTACCGGGTCAGAACCAGGGCCTCTGGACCTGGACGAGCTGGATGTGAACCAGCAGGAGGTCCTGAAGAACCAGCAGAACCAGACACCCTCCAGACCCCAAGTCCCAGATCCTTTTGAGGCCCGGATCAGAGACATGGTTCTAGCAGTAAACCTGGACCCATTTGGGCCCACTTTGGGTCTATTGGAGCCTGTTGGCCGGGTTCTGGTCCCCCCAGACCCGGGCCTCTGTCCCAGGACCCATTTGGGCACATGCAGGGCTGAAAAATGGGAGTCTGGAACCAGATCTCCTTTATGTGAACTCGGTGCTTCCAGCTCGGTGCTTCCAGCTGTCCGTAAATCCGTCCTGGAACCCATAACCAGAACCTGGTTCTGAGACCAGAACCTGGGCCAATGTGACCCTCGTGGTGGCTCTGGGCCGGGTCGGGTCCACCAGAGCCGTTTGTTCCTCTCACATTTTAAATAAAGATACGACTGCAGTTGGTTCTCTGTGAGGATCCTCAGTCATCCTGGACCAGCTTCAAAGTCCAGTTCAGGCAGCTGGAGGTGGAGAAGACGTTTGGCCTCTGAATCCTCAAAATCCTCCTGAGTTTTTCAGAGACCCCAAAGAGGCATGGGACCCAAACCACTCTGACAGGGATTTACCGACCCATCAGAACCCCCTAACCACCATTAACCACCAGGTGACCTCCATGGCCCCAGCAGGAGGGACCAGAGCTACCTTTGGTTTCCCCTAATTCTTTAGTTCAACCTACAGTATATTAATCTGATTCTACGTTTTTATTGATTGTTTTGCTGCTTCTTTCACT